GAAATGTATAAGACATTTTTTCTGCTTTACTTTTTATATTCAAATTTGAATTTCTCCTTTTTTAATAAACTTTTTGTGCTTTTTATGTAATTGATCTACATTCTAATTTTGAATTTTCTGAATGTAAATCAGGACTCTTAGATTCGTGCATAATGTAAAAAAATATGATTAAAAATAATAGTGATTTATTCTTTCTTTTTTTTAATGTATATGATTTATCATATTAAACAATTTTGTGTACATTTCTAATAAATATTCTAATTGTGCACAGATTCTAAATACTGAAAAAAAGATTTTCTACTTTATTTTTTATATTCAAATTTGAATTTCTCCTTTTTTGAAAAACTTTTTGTACTTTTTATGTAATTGATCTACACTCTAATTTTGAATTTTCTGAATGTAAATCAGGACTCTTAGATTCGAGCATAATGTAAAAAAATATGATTAAAAATAATAGTGATTTATTCTTTCTTTTTTCTTAATGCACATGATTTATCATATTAAACAATTTTGTGTTCATTTCTAATGCACATTCTAAATGTGCACATATTCTAAATACTAAAAAAAAGAAAAGAAAGATTTTCTGCTTTATTTTTTATATTCAAATTAGAATTTCTCCTTTTTTAATAAACTTTTTATGCTTTTTACGTAATTGATCTACATTCTAATTTTGAATTTTCTGAATGTAAATTAGGATTCTTAGATTCGTATAAATTCAATTCGTATATAAATTCAAAATATGATTAAAAATAATAGTGATTTATTCTTTGTTTTTTCTTAATGATGCAGAGTTCTCTAATGATGCAGAATTCTCTAATGATGCAGAGTTTTCTAAGATGCAGAGCTTAACAGTTTTAGTTATACCTATCATTTCAATTCATATTATTATAATGCTTTTTTAAATTTATTGTTGTGTTATTGTTGGAGAAAATAGTAACTTCATTAAGTCATGCAAAATTCTTGGAATTAGTCACGAATTTGAAAATCTAAAATGTAGCAGATACCCTGTAAATAATTTAAAAGGTTTTCTTTTCATTTTCTAAATATTAAAGAAAAAGAAAAGAATTATTTTCTGCATTATTTTTTATTTTCAAATTTAAATTTCTACTTCTTTTTAATACATTTTTCATGCTTTTTTATGTAATTAATCTACAGTTATCTTTCTTCATTTAGTTTTTAAATTTTCTGAATGTAAGTTAAGATTTATACATAATTTTAGAAAAACATGATTAAAAATAATAGGGTAATAGTGATTTATTCTTTGTTTTTTTTAATATACATGATTTATCATATTAAACAATTTTGCGTAAATTTCTTTTAAGGAAAATCTGTGCTGAACAGACGAGGTGAAATGGTTCTAGCCAAACCTACCCCCTCTTTACCTGTTTTCATTTGGAAGGATGAAGATCACAGTATAATGAAGGAAACTTATTTATCCAAATATCCTGGTAAACAACAGTTTGATCTTGTTGATTTAAATAAATTATAACATATCCTTGCATATAATGTCAATAATAATAGGATTTTATTTCAAGGGGAAAAACAAGCAAAAACATTATCAAAATTTACTAAACCACTATTGAGGAAGGTGAGAATAAAAACAACAAAACATTTTCGCCAAACATAACTGAAGGAGATAAAAAGGTTTCAGATTTCATTCGGTACTTAATCTAGCATTTTTCTCCATCTTGTTTTCCTTAATAGTGATTCATAAGATTTTGATGTCGTTTTTGTCAACTTTTCCTTCAAGTATTAACTTGTGTCGACTAATATGCAAATATTTTGGTTTAATTTAAGACCAGGATTTTAAAAATTCGTAGTAATGTTAGTAATTTGAGAAGAGTCTAAATTTTAGAGATCATAAACGATAGTTTAAATTTTTAAAAAAAATATTTTTTAAAGCCTGATAAATGTTACCATTATAAATATTATTATACATATTAAGACTATCAAATCCACTTTATTCTTTAAAATCGATAAACATCTTCATTGATTTACTCGTATATCTGCTAAAATAAGTTTTTTTTTTTTTAGAAGCAAATAATTGGTGTTTGACAGGGTTAAAAACACAAGAAATGGATAAATTATGATTGATGATTAGGGATGTGCTTGAATTTAGGGATCTGTTAGTTATAAAGCGTTTACTTTTGGATTTGGGAATTTAATATTCGTTTGTGATGTCCATGCATTTGAGTAATTATTAATAATACATTTATAAATTTATCTAGGAATAGATTTTTTAAAAAATCACATTGGCTTAAGCAATTATTTCTTTAAAAAATATTATGCTGTAGATTAATGTTGGCTTGCTCAAATCCTTTTGAAAAAAATTATTAATTGATTTATTTAAATGTTATTTTTTTAAATTATATTTCAGGTGTTTGGTGTCAAAACGATGAAATATGGATTAATCCGGACACAAAAGGCTTAGTTGTAATTGGCAGAAGGTAAGAACAAATAAGACCTTAAAACAAAAACATTATCCAAATTTTATACTATTTTGCTTCTTAGTTCTTATCTTCTTTTTTTAATTTAACTCAACTGATTCTTAATTTATCTTATGCTTTTATTCTTAATTCATTTAAATTTTTTTAATTTAACTTTATTTCTATTTACTTGATCTTATGCGTGTACTTCCATCAAGATAATGATGAAATTTCGCAATGCTCCTTTAACAAATAATATTATTACTATAGTACGCCTTTTATTTTATTTTTCAATAATTTTACTTAACATTAGCACAAAAACACATATTCCAGTGCAATTTCATTTGATCCAGAGTCATTTCATTTATCACAATTAGAAATTTTCCATTTTAATTATTTGCTTAAAATTTTTTGACTTGAGTTAATTTTTCGAATTTTTGATCTTAAGTGAGCAATTATTAAAAACGTTTTTTTCTAATGATGTCCTAAAGTAAACGAGTTTTACTAATCAGTGAGAATGATTTTGAGTGCTAGAGTAATGACAAAAAACACGAAACGCAAAAAATAGGGTGCACAAACATCAACCATTAAGCCGGCCCGGTGGCCGAGTGGTTAGCGTGTCTGACTGCGGAGCCAATGGCAGCGGGTTTGAATCCCGCTCTGGGCATGGATGTTTCTCTCTCTGTGTTGTCTTCTGTTGTGTGAATGAGTGAATGTGGCCCACCCTATGAACGGGTTTGTGGCAGTATGGCGTGGGTAACGTGGCTCGCCTCCGTGACTTTTGTTCACAGGTGCCCACTGGGTAACGCTAAATGAGTAACAATTCCGGCATCTTCTATGGCGAAGAACGAAAAGTTCAGTGCCTGCTGTTGTTAAAAAAAAAAAAAAAAACATCAACCATTAAGATGCACTAAGTTTTTACCGCTCTTGTGACTGAACTACCTCCTGCTTTACAAATCTAAAAACTAATTACATCGAAATAAAGTCTCTGAGAGAGTATTTCTCTGTATCAGATTTTAAGTCTTAAATAATATTTTCGTGTTTATATACAGATTTTAAGTCTTAATTAATATTTAGCATTTTTAGTCCAATTGCAGCCTAATACTTTAAATTTTAATTATGATATCAAAAGTTCTTCAAGCTATTTTGCTTTTATTTTACCAATTGAAATGTTAGAAACTTTTTCGGAACTTTGTATTTAGAGTAGACCTAAATTATCCTGCATTGTCTTTATTTAGAAGTGAACATTAAAAAAAAAAAAATTAAAAATATTATTAGTTTTCTGTATAAAAAAATGTATTATTATTCTTTCAGTGATGATACGCTTAAACAATTTGGAGAACGATTTGGCGCAGGAGATGTTTATTTTGCAAGTAAGTGATATTTTAGTTCTTATTAAAAGCAATATACAATCACGTTTAGTTAAAGTTAAGTTTGTAAAATTTAATCTTGTTTTTAGAAAGTATTATTTAAGAATATTAACTTAGATTGTGCAGCAAGCAAAATAAATTGAAAAAATGATAATAACCATTAAAATGCTTTTTTTTTCAAAGTACTATAGGTTTCCTACCATTTCAACACCGGATGTCCTAAAAATTACCGACGATTCTAAAAATTATGATTTGAAAAAATGAAGGAGATAAGAACAAACACTTGGCTTCATCCTATTATCGAAACCAGAAACTTTTTTCTAACAGAGTCTTATAATTAATAACAAGTCCAACAATGTTTCTTGCTTTTTAAGAAACCAATCCAACCAATTTGCACGGGCATCTAATAATTTTGTTTTTAGCATGCTTCAGGTAGTTAATGCAAATGATAGTTATTTCGAAAAGTGTCTTTATATATTAATATTATAAATAATATATTAAATATAATTATGAAAATAAAAGCATAAATAGCGGATACTGGGTTGTATTTTATGACGGCTTCTTACTTATTTCACTATTACGATCTTACTTATCTATTAAATCTTTCATTATTAAACACTTTAGAAAGATGCCAAGAAGTGGAAATGTATAAAGATATTTGAAGACTGAATTCGCTGCTTGTTTTATATGTCACATTTTGTGCTTTATTCCGTATTTTTCTTGATTTTTTGTTTTCTATTTCTTGCTTGATGTTTTATTTTGTATTTCTTGTTTAATGTGTCATATTCTCGTTTCAATTTTTTTGGTGCTCCGCTCACTATTGCATTGATATATTTTGCTTTAGCTGTATTAATACAATATTAGAAAGCACTCTTTTTTGCAGATATATTCGTGTGAATTGACAACGAGATTATAACTTTTTCTTATTTTATTTTCGGTATTTTATTTTTCTTTAAATTTTTTTACAATTTTGAAAAACAATTTTAATAATAATTTTTTTTCTCTTTAAAAACACATTTTTCTAGTTTTATANGGCTTCTTTGAAGACAAAATATAGATCACGGCTAAATATAGAAACAAAACTGAGAGTGACTATTTCTAATATTAAGCCTCACCTCAAAAAACTTTGCTCTGCAAGACAGGCCCGAGGAAGTCACCAAAAGATATATATATATATATATTTAAAATTTTTCATGAGTCTTATGTACTTGCAGCTTATGTACGCAGTAAATATAATTCATTGGTTTTTTCGATAATCTTTTTTTATGTCTCTTAATTCTGATTGATCGATGGAGTTCTTGATTTTTAACGTAGCTGTGATGCTTTAAGATATGAATTTTGAGTGCTCGTTTAGATTACAAAATTTCATGCCAGTGTGAACTTTCGTACATAGGATTTAATAGTTGCAAAGCCATAATTATCCAGTTCACATGAGAGCATTTAAAGTGAATGTAAAGTCGCAATAAGAACAAGCTAAGTTAAATGACTTTAATAGGGGAAGGAGATAGTTGCAATGTTTCTTTACTTATGCAAAATGCAGAAACGATGCGTCTTCAGTTAGCAATTATCGTTTCCTCACATACAGCTAGGAATTCACTGGAGATCAAGGTGTCTGCTTACCTTGGGTATTTAGAAATACAGCAAAGTCATATGCCGTTTATGAAAACTCGTAACTGCCTATAATAGGCCACGTTCGCTTTAAATTGCAACAATTCAGTTATCACATTACGATTACCTTCCACCATTGAAAAACGTACTACTTCGTATTATTCTTAACGCATTCAACTTTGCCTGACTTTACAGTAACTTTAAATGCTCTCATGTGAAATCGTCAACCAGCTGTATATATTGCATGGTGCACTCTTCTTGTCTTAATTTATAACAATGAAGCGTAGTGCTGATACTGCCACTATATTTCCTGCACTAGAATGTGTGGCCAATTTTCCATCGGTCAATCATTTTATGTTTTTTGTATTTACTTTTTCCTTAGAATCGAAGCAGTTGCTATGTGGCTAAAATTAAATCGTGTGTTTTAAATTTCACCACCTAGTTCACGACATGGAAGAAATCCAGGACTACATTTGTGTAGGACAGAACAGAGATGATGGTGAGACCAGGGCTGTACTTTTTGTCAAGATGAGGGAAGGACACTCTTTCACACCAGAATTCAAAAGGAAAATAGAACAAAAGATTTTCGACGAACTTTGGCAAGATTGTGTTCCACAAGTTATACTTGAAGTATCGGGAATTCCAGTAAGTATTACCCCTGACTTCAATAGGTTGAGGGATAAAACAGTTAAGATCTAAATGAAATTGTGTGTAAATATACAAACGGAATTATTTTTTTATAGAAAATACTGTGACGAATTCTTGAAGTAGAAATTGAACACTTGAAAATGCAGAGTTTTTGTATTGAACATTATATAAATTTTTTTATCAAAAATAAAGTAAACGGATTTAGCACTTAAAGGATCGCAATTTAATTTTTATTCTAGGTCAAAAATATAAATGCTGTCAAAATCTAAGTTCTCTTAGTGTGTCAAACGTTGATACTACACTAGTAATACTAGTTGATTGCTCTAGTTTCTTGCTGTGTTTTATGTTGTGATCTGCTCATGATTTCTTCTGATATAATGCTCTGACCATGCTAAAGTGGAAAGATCAAATGCGTATTTTTTGATATGGTTATTGTTAAGATATTCCAATAGAGTACTTGTTTAAATTCTTTTAATAGCTTGTTTAAAAAACTTATGACCTCCATAACTCTTTGTCACGAAAGCCTAACGATCCAAGAAAGATTTGAAAATATGATTTTGAAAATTTTCTAATAATCGTCTTTAAGTTAGTATTTTTTTTTTTTTTTTAATTTTAGCCTGCCCAAAACATAGATATAAACCTTACCTTACATTGCCCTTTCTTACTCGCTCGTGAAAAAAAAATTCAAAGCGAAAATAATTAATTTAGATTTTTTTTAAATATCACATTTATTTTTTGACTTTTTTCCAGTACAACTTGAATAACAAGAAAATGGAAAGCACAGTTCGAAAAATTGTAGCAACAAACCAGGTACCGGAAGTAAACAACATCAAGAATCCTGAATGTCTTCTCGACTACTTGGACATTCCTGAGTTGGTGAATTACAACAACATTTAAATTGTTCACCCTTATCTCACTTTTAACATTTCTCGAACTGTACAAAGTTTTAAATACCTTTAACTGTTATCAGACTCATTTTTAGATTATTTTGATTTGTATTTTTGTGTACTAAACCCAATGTATTTCTTTGAAATGTATTTAAACATCATTAAATATTTTTGTCATCTCAATGGTTTAAGTTTTGTCTCTACTAATGCATTCACTAATGAAATGGAGTACTTTATTTCTGTATAGAAATTATCTATCCTCATTTATTTAGTCTTAATCCAATAAGTGCTTTACTGACTACTTCAAAGCGTAAAGTTTTATTGGCGTACGAGAGACACTATTTTACTCAAATTTTTAAGTGATCATATTCAGTGCTTAAATTTTATCAACGTTCCTCATCTTTGAAAATAGTGGTTGAGTAAAGCAACAATATTTATGCAAAAACAGTCTGATATATAAGACATGCCCAAATAAAAGGTAGGACCGTGTAATAGCGTCAGAAATACTATTATAGCAGTGCCATTCTTCAGGGTTATAAGTTAAAGTAACCCGAATAAACGGCAGACTGCATATAACATATTTACTGTTCACGTGATAATTGTTGCTGTTGTAAGCAATTAAAAAGATGAGTTCGATTGTTCTTGTCTTCCAGTGGCGTCATCTATGGCCGGGAATTCGACTTCCATATGTCACACCCATTTATCCACCATCCACACATCGTAATTTCGACCTGAACCAAAGAACAATCAATCTTCAATTCAGTGCTTCCAGAGGAATTGATTTGTTATAGGAACTTGGAGTACATTGTGATCTGGCAGATTTAGCGTGCATTAGTCACCATTTACAACACGGAGAGTCATCGTCCTGCTGAATTCGAACTTCCGTTATCACGAACGCGAGTCCATCGTCCTGCTAACCAGGCTATGCCGACCCTTTCATGTGAGAGTATTTAAAGTGAATGTAAAGTCATTCTGAAATGTTTGCATCTAATACTCAAAACACAGTTTCCAGTAGATCACGGAAGTCAAGCATCTCTAACTGCGATCAGCGTGCGATTATGTGATCACTTTGATCAGTCTGCGTGGGGATGAGGGGGTGCAGCATCGGTCTTCGTGAAAATATTCGTAAACAGGTCATCGGGCTACCACACCTGAGAAGCCACCCCTTCACAGAGGATCAAAATTGTGATGGTATGATTTTGTACCACCCTCAAGGATGTTTCCCAAATCACTATTTGCCAACTATATGGAATGTCTATTTGCCAACTGTACAACTCTAGTGAAACGTAAATATATAATTACTATTACTAGAACAGTAGGAAGAATAATTTTTAGCATCAGAAAGTGAGAGTAAAGCTGGAACTTATGGTCGAATGTTTGTTGCTTGGGAGATCGCTATCTAGGACAAACGAATGGTGTAAAATTGATGAAGGAAGTCTACAGTTATCGAATATCAGATCAAGTAAAAGTTATTATCTTTCACAGCTCATGAGTCATGATCTCTCAGCATTTCACCAGCGCACTGTGGAACGAAAATCATTCTTTGCGGTAAAAAATTAAAATAAATGAAGTTATAGAAAAAAAATCTCAATATGGTTTTTTTGTAGTAAAATGTCCAAGGAATATGACGGTGTATTTTGTTTTTTTTTTTTTGTTTATTAATGGAAATAGCAATTAAATGGAAACAAAGTCGAAATAAAAAAAAATTACATTTTTCAGTTAAATTTTTATTAATATGATAAATCCTTATAGTAAATAAAAATATTAAAACTATGCATGATGTATACATAAATGTATTTCTAAGATATATATGAATTCATTATTTTATGTAAATGCTATTAAAACCAGAGCCATTTCCTTATTTCTGCCCTGTACAATGAAATTGTAACTGCAGGGTGCTCTATAAAAATAGCCTTACGTTGCCGAGGTAAAAAAAAATTGTACATTTGTTTGGTATGTATACTCAAGAACTAAAAAAAAATTAGCTGTGAATATTTGCGAATTTGGCTGATATATCGATTTTTATAGTTCGTGTCATTTTTATAATAATGATAAAATTAATGAAAAAATTATAAAAGTGAACTTGATATTATTATTTTTGTTATAACATTTTCAAAATTTTTTAAATCTAGCAAAATAGATTCATTATTTTTCTTAAATTCGATAATCGAATTTGTAATTAACAATCTTAAATATTTTGATTCAATTCATTTAGTTTAAATTTGTTTTGATAAATATTCGAGATTTTACATCCATTATTTTATTTATTAAAATTATTAACCACAAATTTATAATCAAAGATCTCAAAAACTACTAATAAATAATTTTTATTTATTTATTTACAATTTTTTCAATAATCATCCGCCATTTTGTACTTTTTGAAATTTTGACATCATATTTGAAATCAGCGACCCAAAAAACTTATAGGTGATCAATTTTTAGAACATTGAAGTTAATTTTCTAATTTTGACCGCATTTTTCTGATTTTGTCCCACTGTGCAGCGGCAAGTTATAAATTTTTGAGAGAAAATCGAAATCACAAAAGAAAATTAGTTACACACAGTCCGGAGTGAAATTCTCTTACGTTCCATTACAACCGTGGATGGTGGTATATCTCTGCTGTATTTCTTGCTCTATAAAACGTATCTACTTTTCATTTGGCCAATCCTTGTGTGTTTTTTGGGCAGTAGTTCATATAATGTGCAAGCTACACCATTTAAGAGGGAGGGAGAAGTAGAATTAAATTTATTTTCAGTGATGCCGATAGAATAATGAATGAAGTCTTTGATATTTTAATAACTATTTCACAAAGTGTTTCAAAAAAACTGGCAAATGAGGCATTCCAACCAGGCCAAGATTCAGAAAAAGTACTACCACACTATTCGAAAAACAACGAGACAAAAGTAAAAGCTCTCTTTCATTGGAATGTGTATTTATTTGTTAAAATACGCTTAATTTCGAAGTGCATTGTAAATATTTATTTACACTAAAAGCTTGTAGCCTCTACATTTCAAAGTAAAATGTTTCTTCTTTACAGTAACTTGAGTCCAATGAGTTTTCTACACCAGAAACTATACCGTGACCACCATTTCAGATATTTTTTATTCATTCTCAAATATCTTACGATCTTCAAAAGCTGAAAATAAATATAAAAATAAAAATCATCAGTATCAAAAAATGTTCTAAAATTATAACAATGCAAAAGAAAGCTACTGTTATGTGAAAAATAAATTACAATATTAAGGGTAAATCTTACTATTCACAAAGATAAGTATTTTTGCTACATTTATATTATGTGACGTCTTTATTGTTTGCTTAAATTAATGACATTTTCACCACCAGTTCTTACATTTGTAAATCATATTAGAGTAATAATGAGTTTTACTGTGGCATACTATTGCAACGAGCTAAATTTGTATATAACTCTCTCTGTTTATAAAAAAGAAAAGTTCAAAACCTTGTAAATGTTTTTTTAGATGGAATCGTATATTTACACTTTATTTTAGATGTGATAAATGATGAGTGTTGATGTATTATTCTACTTTCATCAAAAATGCAGACATTTTCCTTATCGCAAATAATATAGAGGAATGTTCAGCTCTTCTAGCAACCAGACATAGCATGTCCACTGTTTGGACATGCTGTGTGGGGATTTATCTTAGTTTAATATATGGTGCTCTGAAATCACCATCCTTAAAATGGGAGAGGAAAAGCTAGTGTGGACATTTTTTACAAATGTGTCAAAAAATTATATTTAATATAATTTTTAAATCATGAAGTATTTTTTAAGAAATAATTTGGAAAGTTTCCTGCACTCTGGTTTGCATCTAGAATTACCATGTTGATTAGTTTTTTTTTACTTTATTTTTATAATTTTTATAATTATTATATTTTTTTATCTTTTTAAGAACAAGGTTCACTAGCCCCGCTACACTGGGATAGTGAGGACAAAATCAATAACTTATTAAATACCAGTTTATAACAACTAAATAAGGTATATCCAAAGCCAAACGAAAATATGAGTCATGTCGTAAAATCAATCTGAGTAATATTGTACAACAAATACTGACATATTTTAATTAATAACACCAAGAGTATGTATTTAGGTTGGGGATTGCGAGGCAACTTGTATAATATGGAATATCATATAATCACAAAATATATACTGACATTACAGTTGAGAAAACAAAATTTTACAATTAATTATAGATATAAATGTTTAATTTTTTATCATATTGGTTTTCCTAATTTTATTTTTTATTCTTAATAGACGACCCATTTTTACTGGACAACAAAATTAAAATTATAATTATTACTGATATCTTTTTCTCACGGTCATGTGAGACATATGCGAAATTTCATCGATGTCTATATTAATCGAGAGCAGTGGTGCCTCAGGGAAGAGAACGCTCGAACGCAATGAAGTGACCTGGATTTGAAACTCCAGCGATTGCTGGCCGATCCGAATTCTACACCCGTCTCGCACCGACCACAGTGCTGACGTTAAATATCCTCAGTGGTAAATGGATCATGGGTAGAGCAAAGAACATAGTTTGAAGAAGAAAGCTAACTTCAATAGACATACTATAAATCTGTCCCCCAAGGTTTTTGTGCGGTCCCTGTATATATAGGAAAAACAACATTCAGGGACACAGCAGAAGAAACCTTTGAAACGGGGGGTTCGATTATGGGTTAGAGTCCCCTTGCCATGAGGCTAACCGTGGGAGGTTCTCGTGGTCTTCTTCTCCATGCAATGCAAATGCGGGTTAGTTACATCAAAAAGTCCTCCACGAAGACAAATTTCTCCCAATACTATAATTTCTCCAGGAGTTTCCTTGTCTTCTGGACTGGGTTCAAAATTACAAACCTACGGAGTTGAACATTAGTAGTCGTAAACCCAAAAATAGGGTTGGCTGTTTAGCGACGGTTATAAAACCAGTTCTAGAATTGGGGAGAAGAAGGAAAGTTCGCTCTTTTGATTTATTATAGGTTTGTTCAGGGTTTTTTAAAATATTGATAAACGGTACAGTACTGCTAATGAAGATATTCCTTTTGAAAGTACATTTATATCATCCATATTGATTAAATCTGCTAACACATTTTGACACAGAAAAAAAATGGTGGTTGGCGGGAGGCAGCATACATATAGAGTTGTCCTACAACCGATTCACAGGTGACGTATCTGCAGACTGTCACTTTGCTTCTTCTGTGCATGTGCTGGATCTTAGTGTATATGGTGCTCTGCTAAATCTAAGTATGTTGGTCAAACTGCAAGTTGTTTTACTGGTATAATATACCGCACCGAGAAGTTTCCAGTGTTAATTACATATTCGAAGAGTTGGACTGCTTCTCCCCTCTATACTATTTGGGTTGGGTCCCTTACCATCAGGCTAACGCAAACGTGAGTTTCATTAAAAAGTGCTCCTTGAAGGCTAGTTTGTCCCAATGCCTGATCCAGCAGCACCCTTGTTTTCTGGATTGGATTCAAAATTATAAGGCTACGGAGCTGAATATTGGTAGTCGTAAACTCAAAATTGGGTCGGCTGTTCAACGGCGGTTATGAAATAAAATAAATCGGTATTCAAAACAAGGTAAATTTATTTATAACTCATCAGTGTTAAATCGTGTTAGTTAAAAGTTTACTTACTAGTTTCCTTGAATCATAACTTATAATAATCCAGTACTTCAGGAATATCAAGGTAGTATTTCAAACACTCTCGATTTTTAACGTTTACTATATCAGGTATTTTGTTATCAGCTAAAATTTTCCGAATGATCCCTTCAGTTTTTTTGTTGTTTAAGCTGTACTATAAAAAATAAAAAACAAAATAGTTTAGCATCTACATCATTTATTAACATTAAAAAAATTTCTGACTGTATTGTACACAAAAATTAAAATTATTGAGATGGTATTTCGATTACATAAAATAAATTATTTGCCCTACAAAATTAAATCATTGCTTTCAGAATGGTAACTATTAGCAAAGTTCTGTCAAAACAAGTGATGAATCAGCGGTTTAAAATACGACGTGATAAAAAAAATTAACTTTTTGTTTCAAAACTTAGTTGAAAATTGCTTATCACAGAAGTATAAGAAGAAAATGTGTTTATCTTTCAAGTTATAAAAGTAAGGTCTTGATTTTTTTTAAATGAAAAAAATCTATAATCCGTTTTTTTTCTATACAGTGATTTTACGGGTTTTATAAAATTTAGTTACGAAGATAAAACAAACGTCTCTTTCCAATATGCTTGTGAACACTTTCGCATGTTTTATTAAACGAGTTCCCATACATCTGAATAACGATTTAAGCTCTCAGATGTCTAAACATTAAAATGATGTCTTAAAAGAATGAAATTCCTACTTATATTAACCTAAATTTAATAGCACTATTATTAGTTTTAAAGACCCGTGATAACAGTACTGTAAAACTATATTATTTGAATATTAATTTACTTTTTACATAATCAAAACTTCAATCCATGCACTTTTGTTGCCGTTGTGAGAGTTCCTGAAAGGCTAAATCAAACCATCTTTCTGCTATGTTTTTGCATTACTTCTCAGCTTGGTAGATAGGTACTTTATTTACATTGCACTAGAGCTGCACAATGGGCTGTGTTTGGGAAACATCCCTCAGGATGATCCGAAGACATGCCATTGCAATTTTGACCCTCTGCAGAAGGAATGACTCCCCTGTTTTGGTAGACCAATGACCTGCGCGTGAAGTCGAACACTTTACGGTAGAACAGTTTAACAAGGACTAATACCTCACACACTTGGTCCCTACGCAGGCTGACCAGAGTGGTCACTCACCTGCTTACTGACCACAGCCAGTGATGCTTGCCTTCGGGGCTCTACTAAGAACAGTGTCTTCACCACCAGTCCACTGCGGGAAGCATTATTTCTCAGCATTCACATCGTTTGAGCGCAGTGATTCGCCTTCCGGCTAAACATTCTTACAACTTAGAAAACAGATGAAAAATACTATATACCAAGACAAACTATTGCGTGGATGTGTGATGATGATAATGCATTAAAGGCATTTTAAAAGAGTGATAATTGCTCTATGAGCAATGGGTAACCTACAGGGAACTGGTTTGACAAGAAAGATGCTGGTACAGCGTCTGAAAAATATTCACCAATCAAAGTAGCGATTATAAGGAAGAATCGAAAAAATATTCAACATCTAAATTGATGCAATATTATAGAAACTATATAGATTTTGGGATTTCTAAACAAACAGACCTTACTTTTGAAATTGCATTTGTTTGTTTTCTCAAGAGAATCTATATAAATGCTCTGTTGAGGAAGTCCCGGTCGAAAGTCAGTGAAACAGGACCAAGATCCGAATTCTGGAAAGTGGTAGTACTGCTCTCCATTTGCGTTGATATTATTTACATAAAATACCATTAGTAGCAATGGTTTACAATCAATCGCCAGTAAAAACGCGATGTTTTGGTTGAAATATACTTATCATTCAAAATATTGAAAATTAATAATATAGCTAGAAAATTTTTTTTGGATCCTCTTAAATCGGTGTAAATACAATATAATATAGCATGAATGAGCAAAAAATAATATTGCAGACGTATTATTGAATGTGGCCACAGGTAAAAAATAAAAATAATAAAATTTATTCATGGATGTTATATTTCAAGGTTATATTTACTCATCATCCTCGATTCAGTTGCAGTAATATAAATGTTATAAAATGTTTATTTTAACTTACTGGAATATTATTAAAATATAACTTACTGGAATATCTGGAATGGGCAATATTAATTTAGGTACAAGATCCTCAAAGAGTTCATCTTCTATTTTACGTTCTATCTTTAATTTAAAAGACGGAGTAAACTCATAACCTTTTTTGAGTTTAACAAACAGCACTACTCTTTCCTCTTTTTCCGGTATATATTGTGCAACACAAATTGAATCTTCAATTTCTTCAATGCCATGAACTAGAAAAAAATATGTTTTATGCTATAAAATTATTTAAATTGGTAAGTACTGATATTTAAAACTTTGGGATTGAATTTAACCAATTTCAAAATATGTCATCCTTACGTTTTTATAAGGGAGTAGATTGGAAAAATTTAAGATAAGAATAAATAATCAAAAAAAATATGGAATATTTAACTTTTTTTTATTCCTTATCGTTTTTTATTAAATAATCAATGTATTAAAATATTTTATTTAAGAAAAAGCATTTATTGTTAGCATAACTGAAAATTACATGATTTGAAAACTATAGTTTAATTGGCTATTTTGTACATTCAGAGGGTGTTTAACAAAAGCCACCCTTTATATTTAATTTTAGAATCCTTGACGAAGTCGAAAAATCATGCTCGTTACTAGTTATAAATTAATATTTCGCAAATAAGAAACAAAAATTGTACAGACATCTGTTGAATTACTAATAAAGGAATAGTGAGAACATCAAAACCACCTTGATTGCCTGATAAGACTAATTTTTATTACCACCGATAATCAAACATGTTATAACTTTTTCATCATATTATTCTTCCTTCTCCACCAGATTTTCGTTAGATTTTGATTGCATGTTTTTCTTTGCTTAAATATTATGCAATTACCTTAAGATGATTCCTTATAGATTTAATTTATGGTAGGGATTTTAAATACTTAGATTAAGAATGGCTACTCTGAACTAATTAATGGTTTAACTTTCCACCATATTAAAGTTAAAACAAACTTGAGTGAAATTATATTTCAACATGTTCCAAGACTTCTAAAACTATTGAAAAGAGTATGTTCAAACAAAGATGAATTATTTGTACCTTTGGCTGAAAACTTTCTAAACCGTTAGTTTTCACTGACTAAATTTCTCATTAAATTGATTACACAGAAGTTTAAATAATCATTTCGAATTAGAAATCAGAATATTAAATTGTATATATATATGTATATTCAATGCATACATTCACTTACGTAATATTTTATAAATGCTCACAATTAATGTCATCGAAAAAAAAGCAATGGCATTTTAAAAATAAAAAACAATAGTTTTCTCTTTCGATTTAACTCAGTATAGAACATTAGAAAGAAGTACTGTATAAATCATAGTTAAATATGAGAATTACACTTACTTGCAAAATAAATATCTTCTGGTCCGAATCGATCACCATTTTGCACAAAAGTATCATCACTAAAATAGTTGAACGTAATTTGTTACTAAGCATGATTAGTTATAACATAAAAAGAAAAAAACGACATTGCAATAACGTGTTGCAAGAATCCAAATATGATAAACAAATCCAAAAACAAATTATCAGTTTTGTAGGAAGTGTTTTCTCTTTGTTGTAATAAGTAATTCAATATAAATTTGTAAATTTTTTTCAAACTATTAACAAATGTAATGTAATATATATATACACAGATGACATAAAGAGAAAACTATAAATGGGAAAAAACCAATAGTCTTCTTCAAGACACATCTGTTGGTATAATTTAATGCGATATTTCTGAATAAAGAATAATTATCCTAAGATAAAAATTATTCTTTATATTTCTCGATATAGTCGTTTATCCTTACATAAATTTAAAGTTTTCACGGTATGTCGAACCCACGAAGCGATATATATATATATATATATATATATATATATTTAATGATATGAAAAAAAAATAATTGCACTAAGAATGACTGTTATCTATAATTAAAGGAAAAGTTTGTGGGTGTTTTTTCTCTTCTTTNAAAAAAGTTTTCTTGCTTAATGCATTGCTTTTAATTGAATACAAAGCAAAACTATTCCAAATGTAAAAATGTTTTAATCAATTTGATGTAGTACTATGCATAACATTATAGTGGTAATACTTACCATCGACCCTTAATGGAAATGCCATGGGTGACAGGATTGATAATACAGTTATCACTTTGGCACCAGACACCTACAAAAATAGTTACCAAAATCAGACAAATAATAACACACTTAACTTGACTCAAAATAATTATTTTAATTATTAATAGCCAATAGTGTAATAGTTGAACAGTTAATAGTAAGAAACTATTTAAGCAATTTGTTTTAAAAAATGAAAAAGAATGTGTTTTGCATTTTCAGTTTTCATGAATTCATTCGATATTTTTGGATCAAAAAATTACAATCTTATTTTAGCTGGAACAAAATTAATTTGAATGCATTAAATATATAAAAAGGGAAGATTAATTATTAATTATACAAGTTTTTGTTGACAGAAGGACATTAAACTTACTAAACAGGTAAAATCTAATCATTTTACCTGGGAACTGTGAAAGGTATTTTGAATGAAGAATTTTATTATCTGTATCTTTCCATAAATACGAAGGCAGATTTGGAGCGGGAGTTGCGATGACCAAAGTTCCCATTTCACCAATAACTGCTTCACCTATTAAAAGAATGTATTTATTTCATATATATCCGAATGAGGACATGGTATATTTTATGCTACGCATGAATAAATTAAAGCAACGTGAATAAGGTATTAATAGAGGTACAAAAATGAACAATTATAGTTTCGTTTCCATAAACAAGAATGTTCGTCAGTGTCATATCAAAAATTGTGAGTTTTTTGACACTGAGGAACGTTCTAGTTATCATGCTGCGCATGAATAAATTAAAACAACATGAATAAGTCACAAATGAAGGTACAAAAAAGCACTAATATAGTTTCAATTCCATGAACAAGAATGTTCATCCGTGTCATGACAAAAATTGTGTGTATTTTGACACTGAGGAACGTTCTAGTTATCATGCTACGCATGAATAAATTAAAACAACGTGAATAAGTCACAAATGAAGAAACAACAAAAGCACTAATATAGTTTCGGTTCCATAAACATGAATGTTCGTCAGTGTCATGACAAAAATTGTGCGTATTTTGACACTGAGGAACGTTCTAGTTATCATGCTACGCATGAATAAATTAAAACAACGTGAATAAGTCACAAATGAAGAAACAACAAAAGCACTAATATAGCTTCGGTTCCATAAACATGAATGTTCGTCAGTGTCATGACAAAAATTGTGCGTATTTTGACACTGAGGAACGTTCTAGTTATCATGCTACGCATGAATAAATTAAAACAACGTGAATAAGTCACAAATGAAGAAACAACAAAAGCACTAATATAGTTTCGGTTCCATGATCAAAAATGTTCGTCAGTGTCATGACAAAAATTGTGTGTATTTTGACACTGAGGAACGTTCTAGTTATCATGCTACGCATGAATAAATTAAAACAACGCGAATAAGTCACAAATGAAGGTACAAAAAAGCACTAATATAGTTTAGGTTCCTTGAACAAGAATGTTCGTCAGTGTCATGACAAAAATTGTGTGTTTTTGACACTGAGGAACGTTCCAGTTATCATGCTACGCAGGAATAAATTAAAACAACTGGAATAGGTCAAAAATGAAGGTACAAAAAAGCACTAATATAGTTTCAGTTCCATAAACATGAATGTTCGTCAGTGTCATAACAGAAATTGTGTGTATTTTGTCAATGAAGAAGGTTCTAGTTTACATCATGCTAAGCACGAATAAATTAAAAAACGTGCATAAAGCACAAAGGAAGGTACAAAAATGGACAATTATAGTTTCGGTTTCATAAACAAGAATATTCATCTGTGACATAAGAAAATTACCACAGTTGGCACTGAGGAAAGTTCTATTTTGTAGAACCGAAACTATAATTGTCCATTTTAGTACCTTCATTTGTGCTACATTCGTGTCGTCGTTTTAATTTATTCATGACAACTACAATTCATTTTGCATACATATTTAACTAAAATGTATAAGACTCTGTAAAATTTAGGTATAACTGTGATTGCAGTTTTCTATTATTAAAGTATAAAAAATTAAATTTTCCATAGTAAGAAATATTTTTGAATTGAATTTATTTTATATTTTTTAAGCTTACAAACTTTTAGCGGAAAATATGTTTTACATCAAAGCAAGCCGTTATCTTTAACGAAGCTTAATACTTAAGAAATTAATTAACTTACAAACCCTATTTGAGGACGAATTTTTTTTCATTATTAGATATGGTAAAAAACTTTATAGGGTCGTTTTCATATGGTAATTTTTAAATTTTTATTTTTAAAAATCTTAAGCTGAAAGTAGGCTTTATTTGAGTTTTTGGATAACTATAATTTTAAGCCTAATGAATGTATAGATTTTGCTAACTCATCTGTTTTGTCTTACCAGAAATAAACTGAAATTGTACTTGTTTTAAAATAAAATAGGAATAAACAAGAAAAAATAACTTCAATGTTCATGCAAGAGATTTGAAATTTACTCCAGTTTTTAAACAATAGTATTGACCAACCATTCAAATAAAGCCTTGATATTTTAATTCAATTCTATAAAAAATTGAGATCAAATTATGGTATAAAGTACAAGTGCTTTGAATGGATTATCCGTAAAATCCATTTTTACCGTAAAATATTGTACCATAATTTTTACAGTAATATTTATTTAATTTAGAGTGATTAAGTGCTTTTACTGCAATTTATGCTGTAAAAGTTACGTTATGTCAGGTTTTTTAATTCGTAACATTTTTCGGTAAAAAGAGAGTTAAGGATAAAAAGTGCCGGTACTTTTTACCGTAATTTGATCCAGAATTTTTTTAAAGTGTATTAGATTTGACTAAGGATCACATATTGCATGATAAACAATTATTTTAAAAGAACCTCAGTAATTGAAGCTTACTAGTGTCTTACGAAAATGAAATGTGAATAGTTAATAATCGATATAATGCTACAGCTGTGATATTTTCAGTGCGAGTCAATGAAATTTAACCAAGAATTAATAATCCAAAATATGCTCACTAATTTATACAAACCTTTATCGTTATAGCAACGAATATCGATACCCAGAGAAGGAAGTTGAATTTCTCCTGCATAGCTTGGGGATTTCATATATATTCCAGACACCATTCCAAAGTATTCTGTGGCACCTATAAAGCGTTATCTAAAATTACCATGTTGTAGCAGTTTTCTATAATGAGTGTGAAATGCTCTTTACTATTTAATTAAAGGTATCGGATAACTGAAGGCGACAGGGATAAAAATAACTTACCCATTTATATATATATTCATATATACATGTATATACATACAGTGGTGGCCAAAAGTGTGGACACTTTTTGAAAGTTTCATGTTTTTCAACTTTTTGTCCTTGTAGAATATATTAATTTTCACTTAAATACAAACGTTTATATATCAAATAGAAATTAATTTAATGTAGAATTTAATAATAAATACAGTATTACAATATCTGTATTACGAAAAAGGTTATGCAACAAATAGTCAGATCTATCTTAGATTTGCATTTTTTTAAACTGATACTTGCACAATCTATACTTAGTAGGATAACCCTTATTTTTTAAGACAGCTTCACAGCGTCTTTTCATCGAGTGAACGAGTGTTTGGAGTTCTTCTTTCGTAATCACATGAATCAAGAATCAATTATAGCTTCAATAAGTTGTCTTTTATTGGATGGACGTTTTTTTCGTACAAGAATTTTCAAACGTCGCCATAAATTTTCAGTTGAATTGAGATCAAGGCTGTTTCCAGTCCATAGTAATATATCTATGTCTTTATTTTGAAAGCATGCTTTGCATACTTTTGCTATGTGGCATGGAGCTGAATCCTGCTGAAAAATAAATGGTGAGTTGTTGGAGAAGAGATCCCTGTTTGAAGGTATCAATTTTGGTTTCAGGGCAGTTTCGATGTATTTTTTGGCATTCAGGATGCCATCAATCACTTGAATTCGGTCCACACCATCTGCAGACATACATGCCCAAATCATGACATTTGTTGAATTTTTTGTAGTTGCTTCAATGCAATCAGATGAAGCGCTTCACCTACTCTACGTCTCACGTATTTTCTACCATCACTTCCAGAGAGCGATATTTTACTCTCATCACTCCAGATTATTTGCCTCCATTGATTTTCTGACCATTTAATGTGTTCTTTTGCCGACTTAACTCGTTTTTCGCGCTGCTTTTTACTTAAATATGGTTTTTTCCTTGGAATTCCAGCTTGTAGTCCAAATCCTGATAACCTTCTTCTTATTGTTCTTGAACTTACTGCAATACCAGCTGCATTCATTTCACATCTAATGGCATCTGATGACATTTTTCTATCT